AAGAATTTTAGGCCAAATTAAATTTACATGTAAGAAGAACTGGATAATGTTTAATTTATTTTGACAAATATGTGCAATACCGTCATCATTAAATGGACACTATAGTCACCAAAACAACTTTAGCTTAATGAAGCAGTTTTGGTGTATAGATCATGCCCCATTCAGTTTCACAGCTCAATTCTTTGAAATGTATGAGTTGTCACTTTGTTTATGCAGCCCTAGGCACACCTCTCTGCATGTGACTTACATGACCTTCTTAACCACTTCCTGTAAAGAGTCATCTAATGCTTACATATCCTTTATTGCAAATTCTGCAATAAATTTCCTGCTCTGTTAATAGTTTGCTAGTTTGCTAGACAATGCAGGAGCCTCCTGCATGTAATTAAAGTTAAATTTACAGAGCAGGAGATAAAAAATTAAGTTATATCTGATTGAAAATGAAAACATTTTGTTTTCGTGCATGCTGTGTCAGTCACAACCAGGGGTGGTGTGACTAGGACTGCATAAACAGAAACAAAAGGGATTTTTTAAACTCCTAAATGCCTGTAAATTGAGCAGTGAGACTGCAGTGGCATGATCTACACACCAAAACTGCTTCATTAAGCTAAACTTATTTTGGTGACTATAGTGTCCCTTTAACCCATATAATCCACATTAGTTGATAAACCCATTTAAGTATCCATTATATATTCTATATGAGAGGAAAGTTAGAAACATTCACAATTTACCATTAGATAACAGGTCTATACAATGCAGGTTCACAGAGGTGTTACATTGCTGTTTAAAACGGTTTTTAATATTTCAACAAATAGGAATCTATAATTTAATAATGATTGCTAGTGGCTACTAGAGGATCAAACACATATCTGACAGAGCATCATCCATAAAATCATATTTTTTTTTACATGACGACAGAGTTATGGTTCCATGGAAAACATCATATATAGTGAACCTTGGTCTATCACATGCAAGAGGAAGTGTTAAAACGGACACAACCTGAACAGCATTACAGTACCATAACCCACGAACATCATTTTTTCAAAGCAGTGACGGTACTCATGCATGCAAGCTGCATCAATGAATGGTATCTCATTCACGTGGAACAAAACAAGTCATTGAACCTATTTGGTCAAGTAACTGAAAGCTGTGGAGAGTTTCCACTTATATTTGCAGGCAATACTGTTCATTTTTTTGATTAATAAGATGTTACTTTGTGGTTAAATACTCCATGCTCCAAAGCGTGGTTGTTATCTTCTATGAGCAATTAGTAAGAATGAGTGTACATGCTCGTCCCAGAATTTGCTTTAAAAGAGAGACATTCACATTTAAAATAAAAAATAAAAATATCTACTGTATTTTCTATGTGAAATGTATAAAATAATGAGCAGTAGATTCATGCAAAGAAGTCCATTTAAGTTCTTATCTGATACGTTAAAATTCTATTCTCAATGGTCAGAGAAAGTTTGAATCAACCGGCTGTGATATGAATGGTTAAAATTGATACATTTGGTGGAGGGGAAGGACATATAATTCCAGCAATGAAAGATTTTAATGAGACATGAAATAAAGGAGTCACATGAATGAAATTCAAATCGAAAATTAAATGTCATTTGTTTGAAGCTAGATAGTAGGTTTTATTATCAATATTCAAAACTTAAGTATGCTGCCTCGATATTTCTTGTGATTTAAGAAACTAATTAACATGATGTGTGCCTGCTTCAGGGTATTACTGCACATTTATAAGGCATTTAAAATACTATCAGTGTTATACACTAAACACTGAATTTAGTTTGAAAGGACAAAACCAGTGTGACAGAGCTCCCGTACCCCGACTGAGTACCTCTGCCAAGTCAGCTTACTAACTGCTGTCAGGGACCCTGGAACACTTCTGCCCCAAGGTTGACTGGGATTACTGAAAACATCTTCAACCGTGAACCAGGCTGCAGTTCTCTCCTTCCTGTCAGGTGTTATCCCCTCTGCCTTTGCTTCTTCAGCTCCACTCCCAGACAGGTATCCACACCTCTACCTAGAGTATGATCAGCTACAGCCTTTACAAAGGTACTTGGGGCTCTCAGGCCTAGCTCTTTTTAACTTGCTCCAGGAATTGGAGCCAAAGCAGCCAGCCAACAGGTCCAAACATGGTTACTGGGATCCCGGAATGGATCAACCAGGGCAAAGTTCCCAATGGTACTAGCACACCCAGATTTATTTATTTTATCAGGACTAGCCCATATGCCACTTACGTTAAAATTACGGTGAACTCATAACAGAATAACATTTTAAAAAGAATTGGGAAGAAAATAACTAACACAAAATATCTCCCCTGTCTGCAGAAATCATAATATGCAAATCTTCCTAAAACATACAAATTAGCAAGCTTTGCTATTCAGGTAGTGCATATAGCTGTTTCAAAATCCTCTCAACCAACAGATGGTGCTGTACAGACTGCACACCCAAATCCACCTAGTTATTACATTATACACACCTTGCACCTATAATAGGCACAAGGTGACTAAAACATAAGAATAATTTGGGGCCTATATAAAGTTTTCGTATTCTGCTCCAAGTGATGGTCACATCAGGCAGCTGCCACATTGAAGAAGTAAAAATTAAAATAAATAAAAACCCCTATGGGTGTCAATAATTACTATAATAGAGGTATTTTAACTCCATATTCCCCCTTCTGTCATCTGGCAAGTGGAGGCATATCTACTAAACATTACACGGTCTGTGAAACAACAGGGGGGCATAGTTCCCCCCCAATACACCAACCATGGGCATCTGGTGGGGGCTACTTTAAATTTTAAGGGGTTGGGTCTCTAATACTTATAATAAAGGGGGGAACCTAGTGTCCCCTCCTTTGGCCTTCATCCAGGCTGACGGGTGGGGCCCCATAAACTTATATAGGGGGGACTTAGTGTCCCCTTTCCTGGCCCCCCACCTATGCTGGCTGGTGTGGTCCCTAAAATTCATAATAAGGGGAGTACCTAGTGTCCCTCCCCTTAGCTGTCACCCATGCCATCTGGTGGGGGCCTTAATTATAAAATAGGGGGCTGGACATGCCATTGTCCACTCTCCCAAATAATCCCCCCCAGATGGCTAGTCGTCCCTTAGCCACCCATAAACTAAAGACCTTATCTACCATCTCTCACCCTAATAATAGTAAGAAGGGGGCTATAAAATCTAAAACCTGTAAAAAATAAAATATAGTTACCATCGGAATTCTTTTCTGGCATTCATCTTTTCTTCAGCCACAGAATGAGTGCTCCTTGCAGTGAAAGTCCTTTTATAGGCTTCCCACGCTATGACAGGTATTGCAAAGTGTGGGTAAATTTCCTATACTTTGCAATATGACCAGGAGCTCTGTGATTGGTTGGCTAGTAAACCAGCCAATCAGAAGGCTGTAACAGCCAAGTCTTTTCGAGAAGTGAGACTTGGCTGTCAGAATGCTCTGATTGTTTTATATTTTATGGCCCCCTTTTCTCTCAGGGAGGAAGGTATGGACTTTATTTCAGGGGATAGCTAGGGGATTGAGGATAATTAACCACCTGAGTGGGTACTATTACTTGGAGCGGTGGATAATGGTATGTCCACACCCCTATTTTATAATTAATTAGGGTCCTCACCTGCCAGCATGGGTTGGGGCCAGTGAAAGGGACACTAGGTCATCCTCTTTATTAGGAGCCACACCCAGCAGCATGGATGGGGGCAAGGGGAGGGTATACTATACTGCCACAGGGTGATTTTCGCACTAGCCTGTAAATTACAGTATTATGGTTTGATAATTAATAACAGGTTGTTGTGCCATTAACAATTTTGCCTTTATCACAATTTTACCATCCTGGTTCTTTTCAGCAACACTTTAACCATTATCATCATTATCACTTTTACCATTATCATGGTAAAGTTTGTACAAACACTGTGTTTAACGAAGATAACTGTGCACCAATGTGTTAGTGTGCAGTTATTTGTTTTATATCAAATATTGTATCATTTATGCAGATTACCCTATGCTTTGTTTGTTATCTATTTATGTAAAAATTATCTTTGTTTACACAATACATAAGGTAAAAACACAGTGTTTTGCACATTTATAGAAACATAGAAACATAGAATGTGACGGCAGATTAGAACCATTCAGCCCATCTAGTCTGCCCAATTTTCTAAATACTTTCATTAGTCCCTAGCCTTATCTTATAGTTAGGATAGCCTTATGCCTATCCCACGCATGCTTAAACTCCTTTACTGTGTTAACATCTACCACTTCAGCTGGAAGGCTATTCCATGCATCCACTACCCTCTCAGTAAAGTAATACTTCCTGATATTATTTTTAAACCTTTGTCCCTCTAATTTAAGACTATGTCCTCTTGTTGTGGTATTTATCACTCCTTATTTGTATTATCATTTTGGATTTACTATCTGCAATCTGTTTGGATGTATATTTTGGATGCTCGCATTCAAGATTTTCCTAGGGCTGCACCGTTCCTGTGGAACTCCCTTCCCTTCTCTGTTAGACGCTCACCCAGTCTCCACTCCTTCAAAAAATCATTAAAAGCTCACTTTTTCACAAAAGCATATCAATTAAACTGTTAATGGTTTAAAAAAACAAACACATTAAGTCTTCACTGAATACTATTCTACCAATCTACTTCCCTAATACTTTCCTTGCCTTTTGTGTCACTTTACCCCACTCCCTCTAGCATGTAAGCTCATTGAGCAGTGTCCTCAACCCCTCTGTTTCAGATTCCCCCTGGAACAATAAGGAAGGGGGAACATGACTGCTGCCCAAGATGGTGGGCAAGGTTAAGTAAGATACAATGTTGCTAAGGTTGGGGGTTTCTTAAAGAAAGGGAGAGGGAGGGACTTACCAGTTGGCAGGATCAGTTGAGGGCTCCTGACTGTTTCTTAGCTGACTGTCCCCTGTAATTCAGAAAGCAAACAATTAGGCTTATCACCTAAACGAAGACTTGATTCTGACCTTGCTGTTCTGATTGCTGCCATGGCTGCCAATGGAGATGAATTGCAGAGGCTTCTGCAAGCCTATCTGGAAACCCACGGACGAGGGGCCCTGGAGGAGTTGGTATCGGGTGTGAGGAGTGTTCCACAGGAGGAGGTGTCCAGTCAGCCTGCTGTTCGAGACAGACAGAGGGCCAGGAGATCAAGGCCTCCATTGCGTCTGTCACCTAGTCCGGTTCGGCGCCAGGAGAGAGGGCGAAGTGGCGGCTCGGCCGCGCACCCGGAGCGGTTGGCGGTGACCAGGAGGCGGAGGACCTGGGCTGAGGAGATCGGGGGCATCCAGGCCCAAGATGGCGTCGGCAGTCATGGCGGAGGGAGGACCAGGAGATCGTGCAGTCCGTGCGCTTCTCTTCCGGCCCAACCGGAAGACGCGTCATCACGCACGCCGCATGACGTGCACACACCCGGAAGCAGGAGAGCGCGGCCGTCACAGGCCTTGCGTTCCAGCGTGGTTCTGGCAGGAAGCGAGCAGGGAACCATACGAAGAATGCCCAGATGGGCAGCTGGGAGGAGGAGCAGAGACCACAGGGCAAGTGTCGGCACTGCAGTGAACAGAGTGCGTTTGGGCCATGAGGCTGGCCGAGGGTCCCCACTGTCCACAGGGTCCAGTTGCAGTTTGGAAGAAGGTGAAGCCCATCATCCTCAGCCGGCCAGCGGTGAGTGTTGCGCCAGCGCTTGGGAGGCGCTAGCTGGGGATGGGGCCAGGGTAGGTAGTGGGTTGAGGGGACAGGAGGGACTTGATAGTGGGTTCATAGGGCAGGAGGTTCTGGGATTACTTAAGGCTGTGCTAGAGAGGCTCCCAGCTGGTGGGCCTTCACTCCCAGTTGCTCTGCCTTCCCAGGCCCCTGAACAGGATAGGGATCTGCGGAATGCCCAGTTAGGTGGGGCGCGGGGCTGCTTGCCAGGCTGTGAGCTGTCCCCATTGGGGATGCATGTGGCTCTGGACGTTAAAGAAAAGATTATTAAAGGGGAGTACGTGGACTTTCTGTCCTTGGTCTCCCCGGACCGGGAGTCCGTGGATAGGCCGCGGCGGGGGGATTCAGCGGACGGCGAGAAAGATAAGTCGCTGCCATGTACATTTGGGAATTGGCTTCAAGGGTTTGCTATATTTGCGAGCCTGCTGACGCGGGCCTTTCCTGAGAAGGCACTGGCGCTATTTGGATATTTAGATCTTATATGGGGGGCGTATAAGGTTTATGGGGGTCAATGTTGGTTCTGATACGACCAACTATTTTGCCAGAAGATGGCGATATGTCCAGGCATGGACTTTGGGGTACAGGACGGGAGTCTTTGGCTCTTGCTGATGACCCCCAGTCATTCCTGGGGCAGCCGGCGTACCGTCCAGTGTGCCGGCTGCGCAGCGCAGGGGCATCTGTTGGCTCTACAAAGAGAGCCATTGCAAGTGGTTCAGATCATGTCGATTCATGCACGAGTGCTCTCATTGTGGAGGGGCCCACCCTGCCCTGCGCTGCTTCAAGAAGGGTAAGCAAGGTGGGAGGATCTCAATAGAGGAGAGGACTCCGGTGAGCGCGCTAAGGAGGTATCGACAGGTATCCCAAGCGTAAGGAGGCAGAGGTCCTGCTGGAGGGGTTTTCGGTAGGGTTTTGGATTCCGTTTGTTCATTCGGATTCCCCTTCATCGGCGGACAATCTGCGTTCGGCAGTGGGTAAAGAAGCGATATTAGAAGATAAGTTGATGAAGGAAGTTCAGTTGGGCAGGATGGCTGGCCCGTTTGATTCGCCGCCATTTTCCAATTTGCGGGTATCCCCGCTAGGGTTGGTCCCCAAGAAGCAGCCTGGCTCCTTCCGTCTCATTCACCACCTGTCCTACCCGTCGAGCGGGTCAGTGAACGATGACATTGACAAGGAGGAGTCGCACGTTCGCTATGCCTCCTTTGATCGGGCGCTGGTGTTGGTCCGGGAGGTGGGAAGGGGAGCTCAGCTGGCCGCTTTCCGACTGCTCCCGGCCCACCCGGACTGTTTTCACCTGTTAGGTTGCCAGTCTCAGGGTTCCTTTGTCTTTGATATGTGTTTGCCAATGGGCTGCACTATCTCCTGTTCTTATTTTGAAATGTTCGCGTCCTTTTTAGAATGGGTGGTAGCTCGGGTTTCCAGGTTAGCGTTGCTAACTCACTATTTAGATGATTTCTTGTTTTTGGGCCCGCAGGAGTCGGATGACTACGTGGGGCTCTTGTATTCCTTTAGAGCCGTCGCATCGGATTTTGGTGTGCCAATAGCGGAGGAAAAGACGGTAGGCCCGGTGGGAGTCTTGTCCTACCTGGGTATAGAAGTGGACTCGCGGAATATCGTATTCCGGTTGCCGGATGAGAAACTGACTCACCTGTTGCGGCTGGTAGATTCGGTAAAAGGAGCGAAAGAGGTGCAGCTCCGGCAGTTACAGGCCTTGCTAGGGCATCTAAACTTTGCCTGTCGGATGCTACCGATGGGCAGGGTTTTTTGCCGGCGCCTGTCATTAGCAACGGTCAGAGTCAAGCAGCCGTTTCACTTCATTGGGATCACCCGCAGACATCGAGAGGATCTGCAAGATTGGAGCTCATTTTTGGGTAGGGACAATGGGCAATCTTGCTGGCTGCGCCTGGTGGTGTCCAACACGGATTTGGAGTTGTACACCGACCCGTCCGGAGCATTGGGATTTGGAGCCTTTTTTCAAGGACGTTGGTGTGCGGAAGCCTGGCCCCGTCACTGGCTGGAGACCGAATTGGGGGGTAACCTAACATTCCTGGAGCTCTTTCCCATTGTAGTGGCGGTGGAACTTTGGGGTTTGGAGTTAGCAAACCGGAAGGTGGTGGTGCACACGGACAACATGAGTGTTGTCCATGTGATCAACCGGTCCACGCCCTCATCCCCCCGGTTTTGTCACTGCTACGGCGCTTAGGAGCGGAACGTTATAGCCGACTCTCTCTCTCGGTTTCAGTGGGACCGTTTTTTTTAAGAGGCGGCTCCAGAGGCAGCTCGGGTTGGAACCTCGTGCCCGGCGGGCATTTGGGACCTGGTTTCCACAATCTGATCAAGTCGGTAAGGGGGTCGTTGGCGGAGTCCACGTGGAGATCGTACGCTGCGGTGTGGCTGAGATGGACGGAGGTCTGCAATGCTAGGGAAGTGTCCTTGGAGGAAGGGAGGTTGTCAGCCACGCTTGCGTTGTTGGAGTCGCTCTGCGAGGAGGGTTAGTCGGCAGCGGCGGCCGATAGAGCGTTACCAGCCTTGTCGTTTCTGTTTCAGTGGTGTGGGTGGCAGGATGCTACCAAGGCATTCTGCGTCATGCGGGTCATGAAGGGATGGAAGAGGGACCGCAGGCTGGAAGCCCGGCGTCCGATTTCCTATGAGATCCTGTGTAACCTCTTGGAGCGGCTTCTGCAGATATGCGCGTTGAACTACGAAGTGCTCCTGTTCAGGGCCGCTTTTGCCATCTGCTTCTTTGCTGCCTTACGCGTAGGCGAGCTGGTGGCCACAAGTACGCGGGCGCCGGCCTCCATACAGATGGCGGATGTCCAGGTTTCGACGGGGGACGTTACGTTGGTCATCCGGAGGTCAAAGATGGACCAATCAGGGGTAGGCGCTTCGGTTCGGATTAAGGCTATTGATCAGGAGTTCTGCCCGGTTAGGTTGCTGCGGGAGTTTTTGGAGGTACGTGGGTTAATAGCAGGGTCGCTGTTCAGGCATAGAGATGGGTCATCCCTCAGCCGATTTCAATTCGCCAAAGTTCTTTGGGCTGGGGTGGTAAGTATGGGACTGTCCCCCAGATGTTATATTACGCATTCCTGGAGCGGCGACTCAGGCGAGTATGCTGGGTCTTCCATCAGAGGTTATCATGCGGTTGGGGCAATGGCAGTCGGGGTGGTTTCAGCTCTATGTGCGCCCTCACTTGCTTTAGGCCAGTGGCGCAGCGCAGTTTTGGTTTTGTTGTAGGTTCTTCCCCGCGTTTTATTTGGATAATGACACTCCTTTGTGTATTGGGCAGCTAGGCGGGCTGAGAGTAGACCCTATGGCCGGAACCTTGGTTTCCCGTATGAGATAGCAAGGGTACGTTGGAGGGGTATCGGGGGCTGACCTGGGACGGGTTATATGCTGAGCTGATTCAGCTGCGGCGCTATGTGTCGGGGCCGGTGACCCTGGTAATTCATGGGGGCGGAAACGATGTTGGACGCGACGGTTGGTGGACCTGGTACACGCGATGCGGCATGACGTGGCCCGCTGTGTCGCGTTGTTCCGAGACCTGACCCTAGTCTGGTACGCGATCGTGCCTCGCCCGTTTTGGCGAACCGAGGGAAAGGGTAAGGCCCTGGAACGCTATAGGCGGAAGGTCAATATGACCATGTCCCGGTTCCTGGGTGGTATAGTAGTAAGACATGTGGAGTTGGAGGGGGACAATGACGCACTGATGAGACGTGATGAGGTGCACCTGTTCCCCATTGGGTTGGACATCTTTAACATGGGCCTGCAAGCTGGAATTGAGGAGGCGGTGTCGGCGGGGGGGCGCGATGCCCGCGCAGTGTAGTGCGCAAGGAGGGGCATCATGGTGGCGGTTTCCCTGGACAGCGCAGAGTAAGAAAGGAACATTGGGGAGAAGACAGCCGGCATGGAGCTGATGGCAAGGAGCTGGCAGTCGAGGCTCATGGTACCAAATGCATGTGAGAACTGCCTGTTGGGCAAACACCCAACAGCTGGCAGATTTGGTCTGAGTTAAATTGTTAATTTAAATAAAGCTGTGGCCGTTGCCCTTATCCACAAGAATGAGGTGTCCCGTGTTTCATTGGTGGGCAACGGGTTGTTGGTGGGGACTGGTTGGGTCAGCAGTCAAGATTCCCCCTGGAACAATAAGGAAGGGGGAACATGACTGCTGCCCAAGATGGTGGGAAGGGTCAAGGAAGATACAATGTTGCTAAGGTTGGGGGTTTCTTAAAGAAAGGGAGAGGGAGGGGACTTACCAGTTCGCAGGATCAGTTGAGGGCTCCTGACTGTTTTCCCACCCTCCCTCCCTATTTCTGTTGTTGTGGCTTGTGTCTAGTGTTGTTGTTTTGTGTTGTCACAGCTTGGCGGTTTCCCTGGACAGCACAGAGGAAGAAAGGAACATTGGGGAGACGACAGCCGGCACGGAGCTGATGGCGAGGAGCTGGCTGTCGAGGCTCATGGTACCAAATACGTGTGAGAACTGCCTGTGGGGCAAACACCCAACAGCTGGCAGATTTGGACTGAGTTAAATTGTTAATTTAAATAAAGCTGTGGCCGTTGGTGGGGACTGGTTGGGTCAGCAGTCATGTGCATCAAACTTGTCTGGTTACAACTACATGTTTGTTAGTCCACCCATTGGTGCTATATAAATATAATAATAATAATAATAATAATATAATGATAATTAGTGATGTCCCGAACGGTTCACCGAACGGTTCGCCGCGAACGGTTCGCCACGGACTCATCATTGAGTAAACTTTGACCCTGTACCTAACAGTCAGCAGACACATTCCAGCCGTCAGCAGCAGACCCTCCCTCCCAGACCCTCCCACCTCCTGGACAGATCACTAAGAATGCAGCTTCACAATGAATGTAAAATGGATGCTGTCGAGGAGGTGGGAGGGTCTGGGAGGGAGGGTCTGCTGCTGATTGGCTGG